TATTTAACTGTATAGACTATGCATTTTCTAAATATAAATTTAATCTAAACAAACATTGATATAATAACAAATTTGTTTCACACCTTAGTGGTTGATATAAGCTCTCACCACAGAATTATCGGAATGGATCATGACCAGATGATTCCTGGCAAGATCAAGAAAATGATCCAAAGCACGATGTATGGCCAGAAGCTCCAGGATCTTGATATGGTAAGACCTCTCAGTCAGAGACCACTGACCTGAAACTTCCTGCTGAATGACCCACACCCCCAGCTGTGGAGGGAAGCTTCCATGAAGTAGAACTCTTGTTGATGTGTAGGCCTTGTCTAACCACCAGTGCAGATCATTGACAAGAGAAGGAGGAAGGGAAATAGGAAGGTATCCTGCACAAGGTTCCATTGGTTGTGCAGAGTCCACTGAAAAGACCTCATATGCATTTGACCCAAGGTGATAAGGATTTCCACAGAAGACCAAATCCCTAAAACCAATAGCACCTTACTAGCAGTAATGGAAAGAACAGTGATGACATGGAGAACTGAAAACTCAATCAAATAGAGTCGTAGCGGAGAAGGTTGGGCCTAACTGAGATTAGTGTTGAAAAAGACACCCAAGTGGACAAGATATTGGGTAGGTGTAAGAAATGACTTTTCCAACTTGATTAACCAACCCACACAAGAAGCTTTCAAGGGAAACAGATGAGTTTGATGGGCAGACTCCCATTCAGAATAAGCTAACAGAAATCAGTCGTCCATGTAATGGTGTAAGCACAACCACCAGGAATGCATGTGTTGAGCAAAAGCCTTGACCACTCGACAAAAGACATACGGGGCCAAAGCAAGCTCCGAAGGGTGGAGCACAAAATTGATACACTACCCCATGATGAAAAAAACAAAGATAGTGCCTCGACAGATGAGATATAGGAATATGCAGATAAGCAATAGAAATGTCAACCTTGCTCATCCATAGACCTGGAGAAAAAGCCCACCTGAGAAAAGACTTCATGGTAAAATGAGGCAGGACCAAAAATTGATTGAGGGGGGGACAGATCGATCACAGGCTGCCAGTCCCTGCTTTTCTTGGGTACCACAAACAGCCTGAAATAAAAACCTGGAGAAGGATGAGGTACAGGTTCAATGGCTTTCTGTAAATGAATATTCTGTACTGCCTCATACAGATATTAACTGGTGGTAGGATCTGGAAGCAACAGAAATGATATGGGTACCCAAGACAATAGAGGAGGAGGAAAGGAAGTGGATGACAAGTATCTTGGATAATATACAATAATTCATAGATCTTTGGTAAAATTGCACAATAGGAGAACAAAATCAGTGAAGTCACTGGTACTGTTGGCAATATGTCCATCTTTGTCAAATAATACAATGAGTGGAGAAACCCTGAGAGGTAGGAACTAGTAAAGGGAAACAGTAATATGGGATTCTCTAGGCTCAGAATGAGACAAACGATCAACCAAAGATGAAAAGGTTGATTGCTGTCTAACAGATTCAATACAGGATTCTAAAGCCTCATTAATAAATCAGAAAACAGACTCTTGGAGAAAATGAGCCATATGTAGGTCCCAAAGATAAGTAGATGGTAAATAAACTTGGGACAATACAATATCTCTCCAAAGAAGATTCCAACAACCGAGAAACAATGTGTGTAAAGAAAGGGCTGAAGAAGACAAATGTGTCAATGTGGAAGTTATCAGGGAGAGGGTATTCCTCGAAAAACCTTCAGAATCTCAGTGGAGTGCCTCAGAAAGGAGGTGGATGGTGGACAAGTACCATAGGAGAGTTGATAGGGTAAGGCAAAGGTGGGAAAACTGGGCATGGGATAAACGAATGGGATGATCAGGGTTTACCCCCCTACACAGGCAAAAGTGATACCAAATGTTAAGAATCAAGAAACAGAAATTCAGCCTGATGGGAGCTAAAGCAATCTGCTCTGAAGCCCATGGAGGGCAAGGCATACTAGCACCCTCTCGCATCTGAGATATAAAATACTCTGCGTGAACCCTAATATCTGGGGAAGGGGGAAACACAAAATACTGAGAGGAGGGTGTATCATGTAACATGGAAGGAAGAGGATTATAAGATATTGGTGAAAGCGATAAAATAAAATAAATCTTTTTATAAGTAAATTGCAAAAACACAGATGACTACACACTGCTAATTTAAGTACAAAATGCAATCAGTATATATTTATTTTGGACATGTTCCAACTACCCACTATAAAACTTACTGTGCATGACTTCTAACATAATCAGGTGTAGCTGTCAAATACTGAGCACCAAGATCAGCAATACAGGAAGGACTGGTAGGACTGCGACTTGTGCTCATTCGCCCACCTAAAAGATTTTACAAATTTTTCTATAATAGTATCTTTCAGGTCTCATTTTAAAACGAACAAATTATTGGAGATACTGTATTGTTCAAAATGGAAAGGTGACTGTTTAGAAATTGCAATTGAGGGTTAGTATAACAACACTGGTTTCAGATGATAATTATAAGCTCAAGTGCACATTAAGGCTGATCCATTAAGGAAGAAAGATCTTTGACATGCTCACAAACTATTATTAAAAGTTTTTTTTTTAATACTGGCATATCTTCACACCAATAGGTAACACACAGATCAGTAACAGACATTACCAAAGTTATAAAAGAACTTAACCTCTATGGTACTCCTTATCTTCTGATAAAAAGGTAACACATCAAACAACAGTATTTACTTATTTTACATTTGTAAAAAAGTTAAATCCACTTAAAGAAGGGAACTATTGATCTACAAAATGTAAGGAAAATAATTGTAATTGTTGCAATTATTTATAGATTGGTGTATTTTAAATGTGTTATGACCATCTTGTTTTTCTAGATACAAAAACATAAGAACAGGGTAATAAAAGAGTATCTGATCCACTAGATATCCTCACCCCTAAAGATATTCAACGCAACCAAATACATACTTTCACAGTCATGTGTTAAATTAACAATAAAAAAAACTGCTCAAATACTTCCACAAGTTTAAAACTCAAACCAGAATATAATTTTGTTTAAAAAAAAAAGTATTTATTGTTGCTACCAAAGTTAACCTTTATTTATCTACTTTGTAATAATTCATCATTACAACTGATTTTCTTGTTGTCAAGAGAAGTATTTCTTTATTATTAAGATTTTTAGAACCTTTTAAACATTTTCTGCTAGAATGACTTGGATCTCTTAATATTTGTTGGATAACATTACTTACCCGATAAGGTAGTATATAGTTGTTTTAAATGTGCTAAAACTAAAATGATAATAAGGGGTTAAATATGCTATTATTAATGTCTTACCTCCTTAGCCCATTATCTTTTTTTTCTCTCACTTTCTCTTGCATTATATTAAGATTTCTTTTAATTAGATCTAAATTTGAAATAATCTAATGGTTCTTTATTTTTAGACTAAATTACATTTCCTTGGATAGTCAGCATGGTTTCACAAGAGAAACGTCTTGCCTTACTAACCTTTTGATATTCTTTGAAGAGGTTACTGCTTAAATAGATGAGGGCATGAATATGGATTTGGCATACCTGAGTTTGCAGAAAGCATTTGACAGGGTGCCACATAAAAGTATTGCTAAAACTTCTCTCTGTAGGGATGGGGGAATAGTTTGGCTCATTGGATAAAAAACAGGCTAGACAGAAGAAAGCAGAGGGTTGTTATTAAGAGTTCAGTCAAACTGGATTAATACCACAAGTAGGGTACCTCATGGCTATGTGTTAAGACCTTTAATATTTTTTTATTTAAATCGATGATTTAGATGAATGAACAGTCAATAGATTATTTAAGTTTGCTGATGAAGTTTTGGGTGTTGCTGGCTGTGAGGAGAATGCTACTGCTTTACAAAAGAATTTAGATTATTTGGTAAGTTGAGCAAATAAATGGTAGATGACTTTTAATTACAATAAATGCAAGTTAATGCCTAAGGAATATCACAGTTTGAATTATGGGTATTATTTTGATGGGAATAACCTTAACAGTGTTATTGGAAGCAAAAAATATTGATGTTCTGGTTCATCAGTCTCTAAAACCATCCAAGCAATGTGCTGTTGCTAGTGGCAGGACAAATAGGAGTTAGGTTGTATGTACAGAAATGCTGAATACAGGTCTAAAAAGGTTATAATATCATTTTATAGATCATTGGTTCGGCAATATTTGGAGAACTTAGTTTAGTCTTGGTCTGCTCACCATAGAAGGGACACCGAATTATTGAAAAGGATGATAACTGTGATGGAAAGGATAGGTTAAATTGTTTTCTCTTGGAAAAAGAAAAGCTAAAAGGGATCTTATTAACTTTTTTAACCTCGGCTCGGTCCCTGGGACTGATCTTGTAGCCATTTAGTGCTTGTTATAGTTTTCATGCTATAACTTTTAAATTAGTAAGTGAATGTTAACAAAATTTGGCCATTTATCAGTAAACATTCTAATGCTTTCATATGCAAAATATCTAATTTTTTTATTTATTAAGTCTTAAGGTTTGTAAAGCAATGTTTTTCTCATGCCTCTTTTCTTTTCACATGTTGCCTATCTACTATGTAAAGTAATTTTCATTTTAAGATTAAAAATACTTTTATGCATAATAAAATTTTGAAATTTCCCATGCAAAATCTTTATAATGTCTGGATAGTTATCAAACATTTCTTAAGAAAAAACTTTATATTTTATTTCTTATTTTCAGTAATTACTCTCTTCACGTGTTCGGTAAATTTGACCGATCTCACAACCACCATAAAAAATTAGGAAATAAACATAAATTATGCCTCTTTCATTCTAGAATGAACACAAATTACAACATGAAAACATATATGTTTAGATGAAATAGCTTAAATCTCATAACATTATACATTTGTATATATTTATTATTTTTATTATATTGACCTTTCACCTGTGCCTGGCTAACAATACAGAAGTTACAATGACACAGCTCACGTGCACTCATGTTACCCTATCAAATAACATAAAGGTGACCTTTGTTCTGTACATAGTAACTTGTCTTGTCTGTGTTTTAGTCGATTAGTATTTTGTAAAATACAGTTACATTTCAATTATTATATATTAGTATGTATATAGATTATTGCTATTTTGAAATAAGTTCTTAAAATTATTTGTCACAAAACACATAACAGTAGATAAAGAAGTAAAGCAAACAATTACCCCTTCTAGTTATGACCTTTTTACTCTGTAGCTGCTTGACATAGGCTGCTAAGCCTTTAAAAATTTTGCAAGTGGAGGATATGAAACAAAATTTTTTTTAAAGTTTTATATATACTTTTGAATAACTAAAAATTTATAAATTACTACATCAATACCATATAATTCAACTATAATTTATCAAGTTTAGTAACTAAGCTGTATTTAGGTCTAAAAAAATATCAAATTTCGAGCAGACTAAAGACAACCTACCTCATCGAATCTTGAATCAAAAGAAAGATATGGCAGAAGGAACGTCAGAAAGGCTGAGAAACCACTAGAAGGACATTCTGAGCTTCCAATTGGTTATTCATGTCATATATAGAAGTAAGTGTATATATAAGGGAATGTTTCCAAAATTGGAAAGAGGTGAGCGGGGTGCCACTGTATGTGATTTATTACATGAGCAATATCTTAGCAAATAGAAAGGATAAGACCTTCTTATTTTATATTCTAGCTTATCAACATCAGTAATTTGAGTTTCTAATTCATATAAAACTATAAACTTTGTATTTTGATTTCAAAAACATCTAAT